AAAAAGTTGCAGTCAGATGACAATTTTGTGGCGCAAACAAATCAGATTTCAAGATCAGGTATAACGTTACACGATCCGGAAAATTCAAAACAAACGTTCGCTTTGTCAAAAATCGCTTGTTTCTCAAAAAGCAGCATAAGAAACTACCTGTAGTGCTCTAACAAAAAGTTTTTCCTCGAACGATTTTACTATTAGAGCTCCTCTAATCCTAATCTTAGTATAGATCCTAACCCTAATCTAAACGAACTTTAAAAAATTTTTCGATTCTCGCGTGACTGCAACTTTTTGGTGGCGATACTGGGGAAGATGTTTGAATCACTATTGAATGATTACTTCGATCATAACCCACAGAAGGAATGGTCGGTTATTAATGCCTTGCGATACATAGAGCCAAAAACCGAATTATTATCTTTAGATACAATCAATATTTTCAAGGATGACATGTATTCGTTACTATGTAGTTTGAGTAACAAGTCCTATGTGCATGAGTTTGCCAAGAAAAGAGCGAGGAAAATTCTGGCAAATTATGATAAGTCATTCTTTTCAGCCGATGTAAAACGTTTAATTGATGAAATTGAACTAAAAAATGAAAAAAGGAATTTCACACATCGATAAGTCGAAAAGTTACATCTGCAAGTACATTAATGGCGCTGGAGGTGAGTCTTAAGGCAAACCTAGGAGAATAAAACATTATAATAGCCTTGCTGACAATCCTATTAGGAGCATCGTACGGACAGAATAGCAATCGAAAATTTGCGCAACGCAATAAACACAACACCAACCATCGAATATGACTCTGAAAGGAAACATGAAGATCTTAGAGGAGAAATAATGGATGAAGTCGAGGTTTGTTGGTATCATTATGTCAACACAAATCGTATTCTGTCTCAAGCATATATTTATCTCTTTCATCTCATCTCTTTTCAAGAATGATCAAATTGTTTCCGAAGCTGTACAAGAGTTGGGTGACCTCGGTGCGCAAAGTTACGATCAAGAAAATCAAGACCTGTCGCGAAACACAAATACCCTAGGGAAAAGGGAAAATGCAAGTGATGCTGAGGAAGAAGGAGTATTAAAAAAAAGGCAATATAATCGAGACCGTTACACCACACCACCACCACGACGATTAGATAACCTTATTATTGAGTCGCCTAAGTTTTCGGAATCCAATCAGCACTCTATCTTTTATGGAGGACTTCCAAATTATGAAGAGGGCATAGAGATTGTCCCGGAATTAGTACTTAAAGAAACTAATGAAGCCATGATTCCTTATTTTGAACACTCTTTCAATTATGATTCTTGGAATTGTTGGACATTAAAATCTGGTTCGGTAGTCACTGAATTGCTAGAGAAAGCATCAAATATCAAAGGACATCCTCTGAGACCAGAGGTTTGGAGAATCATCCGTTGTGGTTTCAAGATAGCAAACCGAAATGGTTAAGTAATGAAGAGTATGCCGAGATACAGAGCTTTACTAAACGCCCAAGTATTACAAGTCCTCCAAAAGATATTATTGAACTTTTGAAAATAAAATCATTGGAATTCGAAGTAAAAAAGTTCAAAAGAGACAAATTAAATGCTCATCTCAAGGAAAATATTACTGGCCAGAATTCCGGTGAAGATCTTATTTTGGAAAATATTAAGATAACATGTTCAATATTATATCCCGAAGATACATTTACTGCTTTTTTCATGAAAATTTTATCTTTATTCCATAAATATGTTTTTATAGAAGATTCTGTTATGCAACAGCCAGATGTTTCAGAGGCTGATTATGGAGGTTATCTGATACATCCTTGCTTAAAAAAAATACTTGTAGGCTTAGAAGATCGTTTATATTATCACATGTAAGTAGCTTTTATTTGGTGTGATACTTGATGTTTGATAAATATTGTATATTGACATGGTTTTATTTAA